GAGCTGAAAATGCAGATTTAGCATCAAGCACAGACATCCAGCCACTCGCTCTCGCTCTCGGGTGCACACAGCTCTCCATACTCGCACCCCAAGAGCCGGGCCGCCGCCGGACTGCTCAGCTTCCCAGCCAGCCAGAAGCCGGAGGGGAACACACTCTGATCGGCTACTTCCCAAGCCCCGGCTCAGTCCCCTTCCCTATACAAAGATTTTTTTAAAATAACAACAGAAAACAAAACTCCATACCTATTTTTAATTTGCGCCTTCCCTCCGGGTGCCCTGCTCCAGCAGACTGTGCGCCTCCCAGCCCCACTTTCCACTCCAGAGAAGGATGAAGGGGGGTTGTGGCTCTCAGTGGCAGGCGGCCGCCGGGCTCCTCTTCTGTGTCATGGTTTCTGCATCTGCCGAGAGACCCATCTTCACGAATCATTTTCTCGTGGAGTTGCATAAAGGGGGAGAGGAAGAAGCTCGCCAAGTTGCCGCGGAGCACGGCTTCGGAGTCCGGAAGGTAAGCTCTCCTGTGCATTTCGCATGTCGCTTCCACGCGAAGGGCAGCAGCCCTGCGCAATCTCCCTGCAGATTTGCAAGTTTTCTTTCTCCTGCGATGCAGATATTCTGCCATCGGCGCTTAAACACGACATTGCCTCCGGTGATCTTTCACGGGTTATGTAATTAAAATGTCCTTCGTCTGCACTAGTAAGGTCATCAAAATAATGTATTGCTTTTTGACTTGGTGGCGGCGAAGAGGGTAACACCTTGCAAACGACGCCTCGCGCCCGGGCTGCTGTCCGAGGTACCAAGTTCTCCAGGCTGCCTGAGGCTGGAGGGGTGAAGCCCCGAATAGCTGGGCTTGGCACTGGCTGCTTTGCCAGGGATGCGCCCACCACTCCCAATCCCCCAAGAAAGAATCGTTTCCCGCCGACAGGGCACCGGGAGTGCTCACCACGGGGTTCCCCCACCCCGCACCGTGCAGGGCTTCCCTACCTCCCGGGGAACTGGGTCCCAGCTCTTTTCTGGCCACAAGAGCTTCCTAATTGGGAGGCTTGTCACATTAACTGGTCTCTCTCCCAAGGTCCAGGCGAAACCTCTGCGCCCTGGCCCCCCGCCCACGACCGCCCACCCCCTGAGCGCACTCGTGGTGGACTCGGAGTTTCAGCTCCCAACTTGTGGGGGACCAAACGGTGAGGTCGATTTGGAGGGGAATTCCCTAGGAAGAAGTAGAGGTGTCCTCTCACAATCTGTGGGCGGCCAGTCTGGCTTTCCCAGGAGAGCGCGGGGATCCCCATTCCAAGAAGTTGTTGGAGACCAACAGTTTGGGCAGCTCGGCGCCTCTGGACTCCTTTGGAGACGCCAGGGGACCCACCGGGGGAAAAGAGCGCAAGTGCCCGGCGGGCCGCGGCTTTGTCCCGAGATCTCCGGCGTCCTCAGGAGACCTGGAGCCGGGTGAGGTGGAGGGAGGGTGAAGCTGGTGCGAGGGGACAAAGGACAGAACGATGTATCTGGCTGCCGGGAGGCTGGACGGACGTCAGGGACATTCGGGGTCCCTTCCCCTCCTCCTGAGAGGGGCGCAAAATGCTCGTTGGCTGCTCCGGGTGCTGCTTTCGCCTTGAAGGGTGAGCGGGCTAGGGGCTCCCATCCGGACTTCCAGCCTCCCGCCTCCCTCCCAGCCACTGCGAGGGCTCCTGAAGTCGCTGGTGGCGGGCTCTCAGAAGGCGTAAGCAGCAGCCGCGATTTCCATGCCAGCTGGGTTTGGCGAAGAGTTTGGCGGAGGTCGGGGAGGAGGCGCGGCGCTGGCCTGTAGCGCGCGGGCGGGTCGCTCTTCAGAGAACTTGTTGCTCTGGGGAAGGAGAGCGTTGGCGGAGCAAGGAGGGAGCAGCCCGCGTCCCCGCCCAGGGCTAGGGGCTGTTTTCAAAGTGAGTGCATCCGACCGATAAATCAGCCTACCGCCTTCTTTCTCAAAGAAAGGAGCCTTTTTTACTTTTTATTTTGAGACAATGTCTCCGTAATTCCCTAAATTGCTCAGGCTTGTCTGACATGTGTGATCTTCCTGTCTCAGCCTCCTAGAGTTAGACGATTTTGTCGTAATCCAGGATCCAGGGACCAATCTAAAGTATAGTAGCGATTATTATTAATTGACAGGTATTGGGAACATTTAAGAGCTAAAGTCTTTGCACTCATTCTGCTATTGTTGCTGAGCCTGCAGGGGCTGAGGAGGAGATTGGTTCAGAAAGAGGCCCAAAATAAAAGCATGAGAAGATTGCAGCACTGGCCTTTTTGAGAAGCCCAGGGGTCTTTACTCCTTAGTTCCTGGGGGTTCTGCTCTGTTGCAGAAGCTGGGAAGGGCACCTCGGGTACCAAAGGGCTGCGGAGGAGGACACCACCACAGCCTGTGACTTTTTCCCCTGCAGGACCCCTTTTCTCAGGGAGGTAGACATTGCTACCCTCGTTTTTTCTCTCCTCCTCCCTCCTTTGAAAACATGCCCTTGGGATCTGATCAGAGAAACCTAATCAAACCCAGGTGTAGCTGAGATTGATCATGGCTTAACTCAAGATTATTATTTTTTCAATGGGAATAAACACCTTAATGAAGGAGTCGTACTTTGTTTGTTGTATTAAGGGATTGAACCCTGGGCCTTCGTGATGAGCTAGTTCCCGGTCCTTTATTATTTTTTAATTTTTGAGACAGTCATGCTAAACTGCTGAGGCAGTGATCAAACTTAGTAAACCTAATGCCTCAGCCTCCCAGAGAGCAGAGATCCTAGGAATGTGCCACCATACGTGGCTGGGATTTGTACTTTTGATGATGAAATTCCAGCAAGGAGCTACACAATCTTATCACACATGAATAATCACCTTAAATCCCCAGGAGTTTGCACTTCGGGTAAGAGCAGGTAACTTTCTCCCCTTTCTCTCTTGGAAAGGAGTCCACTGATTTCACAGCACAATTCTGCAGTACCCATCTGGGAGGAATGGGCTTTCCCTTTACCCTTTCTCTCCTTCTCTCCCTAGAACTCTCACGTGGTACCTCTTAACAAACCCAGTGGTTTCTCCCTGCTACATAGTTAAGGAACAGACTATCACAGGATACTTCTGCCAGATGTGTCTGCATAGAACATCTGCCCAAATTAAACCCTCAGTTAGTTCCTCCTTTGGATCCAAAGAGTGCCTGTCTCTCAGGCCCTGGGTCTATCCTTCCTGAGCTATGGACCACAAGGAGCTTTTCCCTCTCCAGGCTCCTACACGGCCAATAGGAAGAGGCTCACTATAGGTTAGGTGGGCATGTTCTAACCCTGGTCTTAAATCAAGGGGAATGTAGCTATTCTTTTTTCCTTGGAAATCTAAATATGCAGGGCTTATGTCTTCTATATTTCTGGCTCCCTCCCCATAACTAACTCATTACTGTGCTTGCTGTGCGTACAGAAACTTTGGTAGTGTTGTTTGTGGTCCATGGTCTCCCAAGGCTGCCTGCCCTGCTTTCAGGATACATCTCTGTATAGCTGGTGACTTTTGTCATTTGTTTTGTATTTCAAATCCTGAATGTGCCCCTCTCCTTCCATGCTGTGGCCCTCAGCAGTTTCTCATCTCCTTATTGCCCCCAGTGATGCCTAACATCAGGCACCAAAGATTCTCCAGTTCCGATTTCTCCACAGAAGGGGCAGGATGCAGGCTGGAGGATCTGCTACTGTTCATTCAGTGGGCACCTTCTGACTTCATAGACCTTCTGCTAGAAGTCATAGGCAGCAGCTTCAGTTCGCACATGAAAATCTGAAAGCTCTGATGAGAGGTTAAGTAACTGCTTATAGCTGACAAATGAAAGAACTCAAATTTAAAACCAAATTTGCTTGATGGAAAATAATTATTTTTCTATCCTATTCTGCCTCCGAGAAGCTCTCTCCAACTGTCAAGATCTCTGCAATATTTTTCTTTCTTTCCTTTCACTTTTTTCTACCCTTACCATTTATTTGACATTAACATATGTCATCCACCAGCATGTATGCATCTGTACTTTCTCTGGTGGACCCTAAATCCTCCAAAGGGAGAAAGGAGCTATACTTCTTCTTACAGTCCTAGTAGCATCATGATTTCCCATAAATGAGATATTTGAAAAGTATTTGTTGATTATTTAACTACTGGATTCTTACAAAACCATTAGCATTTATGTTTCTCCTTTTATTTTATTTTATTTTATTTATTTATTTATTTATTTATTTATTTATTTATTTATTTATTGGTACTGGGGATTGAACTCGGGTCCTTGCGCTTGCAAGGCAGGCCACCGAACCACTGAGCTAAATCCCTGGCCCTATGTTTCTCCTTTTAAATGAAATAAAAATATCTGTAACTTTATCTCAAACATGTGTGGAGAGAATAAAATTTTTCATTTTATCATGACCTGGCCTGACTCTAAAACGCTGTGCACCTAAGGAGAGACACAGAAGTTTAGAGGGTGAGGAGCTTGCAGTGTCTCCGAGACCTCAACCCAAAGAGCACCTTCAAATTCTCAATGAACGCTGTTCATTGTAATTCCCCTGAAACAGAAAACAAAAGCTATTTAGTGGAGTTGTGTTGAGGATAGGCCAAAAATGAAGAGTTAAAGTTTGAAAAATCAAGAGTTACAGTTTTATAATAGTTGATTCACCTCTTTTGTTTCAGGAGAGTTTTCTTTCTGACCTGCAGGGGATTGACATAAGGGTGCTCACACAACTAAAATCCAGTGGCCATTTTTATGTGTGACAATTTTTTTTAATTCTGAAAATAACCTAATAGTCATGCAAACAGGTAATAAAAATAAATTTCTTTTCACTTTATTTTTCTGGTTGTGTAGTGTCATTTAATTTAGGAAAGAGCACAGCTCAATGTCTTCAGAAAATGAGTAACTTGTGGACTTGCACCCAGATCAGGAGACAGTCTCGTCAGGCCTCCTCATGCTCTCCTGTAGAATTTTCAGCTTTCCTTGTTACCAGTGTGTCTTTTGTGTACATCAAGGTACAGTTGTCTCCATACCCAGGCATTTCATATCTACAGATTGAGCCAGTCATTGTCTGAAACTGAGTATGTACAGACCTCTTTCCCCCACATTATTCCCTAAACTATTCAGTATGGCAACTGTTTACACAGCAATTACATGTATGAGGTACTCTAACTGACTAGAGATAGTTTCCAGTATATACAGAAGAATGTATGTGGGTTTTGTGTAAGTCCCACACCATTTCATCAAAAGGACTTGAGCATCCGAGGACATGGTATCCTCTGAGCGTCCTGGTAGTTATGCCCTCAGATACCAAGAGACAGCTGTGTTTGTGCTTTGCTAAGCCCATATATGACTTTCTGTTGGAAATGCTTAGGAATGGAGCTGAGTCCAAGAGGATGCATATGTTTGGTGTTAGAAGACTGAATCCGTTCTTTTTATCACCATGTAACAAATCACTATAAACCAGGTAGCCTAAAACCAGCCAGATGTGAAATTTCACAGTATTCCTGGGGAAGGAGCCTGGTACACTTAGCTAA